TCAGCAACGCCCCGATCTCTGGACAGTGTTAAGTTTCTACGAGGTAGAATGACAATACTACATGCATGTATGTAATCCTGAGGGTATTTGTTCCATCAAGGACGAGCCATTTAGGGTATAACATCGACTATTCGGTCATAACAGCGGTCCTGCCTGTCTACTTTCCAAAGAGGCTGGCAGTGGCTCTTCATGATTGTGAGACAGTGCCTATTTCTCACATCTTGCCAAAGCGGTGGAGAGATGAAGATTGGGTGGGAATGGCCATTTGAACCATTTGACGACGGGATAACAAATATATAACAGTAATATGTAATAAAACGAATAAAAATAAAAAGGAACAAAGATAAACAAAGCAATAATGAGGACAGAGAAATATCGCCACTTACCTTGAATAATGGCGAGTAGAATGACGATGACAAAGAAGAAAAAGGTCATATCAAATAATATTCGATAGGCCTCCTTGGCATCGCCATCAGGCGCTTCAATCTCGTCGCCTATACCACCGCCAGCCCGCAAACCAGTGTGCAGATGAAAGATGAAGCACTAATACAAGAAAAAAGAAGAAGAACCACAAGCGATAAAGGGTCTATGAATGTTATCAGTTGACAGGAAAATTATAAGTTAGAAAGATATAGGGAATACCAATGCGGAGACTGAAACAGAAATGGTACACTTTAAGACAAAGACATCATAACTTTGCTGGGGGGACTTTCATTTCGTATGAAAGTGCATGAAAAAGAGATTCAAGGGTCGATCTCCCCAGAAGAGGACGGCTGAATTGCGTTGTACTGCGGCCGTTTGGCTTTTATACAACGTTCAGGTTGACGAGGTCCACGAGACCTCCTTCTTCGTTTCTGGTGAAAACGGGCTTAGCTTTCGTCCATCATTCGATTGACCTCATCAGAGCTAAGTCTCATTCTTGTAAGTCTCATGCTAACACTAGGGCAAAAAGACTATTCGGCTTTATCTTATCCTTCATATAGACTCAATTAAGCCAAAAGAAAATTAAAAACCTAGATAGATAGATAGATAGATAGATAGATAGAT